AGATGAACCCTAGGTTTGCAATATGGGTGAATAAATGCGATTAAGAATAAGAAGCGACAGTAATCTGAGGGGTAGGGGAGAGGAATTCCATTTTGGACATCTCACTTGGAGTACCTAAGGGAAAGCTGGCCATATAATTCTGGAGCTCAGGAAGGGTAGTGCTAAATTGGGGAGGGTTAGAAGGAAGAGATGGGTGGCCTTTGGCCTTTATACCAGTGGAAAACACACAGGGCTGCAGAGCAATTCCAAATCCTTGCAAAAGTCCTCTAATGGGGGAGCAAATTAGGAGAACAATTTGAGGCAAATGAAGGTACTAATAACAATAAGTACCATTTACAGAGGTTTAGAATCCTAAGCAGGTATATTTAACCAGTAAAACAGCTTTATTAAGTGGCTACTACTTATTGTCACAACTTCACAGTGAGGAAAATAGGCCTTCGAGAGACCAAAGGCCTTTAATTAAAGACCACTGCATAGTGGAAACATTAGGATCTGAACTCATGTGTGATTCTAAAGTAGCTGGTTTTAACTACTTTCCTCTTCTATGTATACATCGGGGAGATTTTTTTGGCCTGCGTTCTTGGAGTTACTAAAACTTTCTTGTAGCCCAAAGAACGAAAGCTCTGTTGAGAGCAAACTTCCAAACCAATTTTTCCATCTAGGGCTGCCCCAGCCCAAATTTCTAATGTCATTTAGCCTCTGACCTTTACAAGGGAGGGAGAAAAAGAGAGGAGAGCGCTTCGAGGGTCACGCAGTCAGCGAGTAGACACACAGTCCATGATCTTTATGTCTTCATGTCCACAGGGGCCTCCGGTCTTTAATCCTGAACAGAAGGCATAGAGGTTTTCGAATTGAGAAAGGCAAGCTCCTAGGCACGTCGCCAGCCTGGAATCACCGCGGCCATTTCAGCACCATGGTCAGGGACACGCGGAAGCCTTGGAAGACCTCAGAGTACTGGCCAGACTGAGTTTGCCTGAGAGGCGCCCGCAGTCGGCCTGCTCATGGATCCCAGAAGCACAGGCTGAGGTTGGAGGTTGGCCAGGAGTCCCACACACACACCAGGGGTGTGGTTAAAGCGCCCAGAGACTTGGTTTTACAAGGATAGAGAGGACTCAGCTTCAGCCAAAGTGGATACAAATTACAGAGTGATTGCTCCCCAGCACCTGCCCCTCCCCTCTATGGGCACAGAGTAAAGAGGACTAAACTGCCAATTTGAAGGAGGATCTCAGTCGCAGTTTGCTTCAATAACTCTCCAAGTGACCGAGGGCCTTGGACAAGTCATTTACGTCTAGGACTTTTAGTCCTGTTTTCACAAAGGTGGCCACTGCCTTGGCCACCTCACTGGTAATAGGAGGGCACCTGAGATAGGAAGCGTCTGACCCCTGCACTTGCTTCTTGAAGATGGGGCAGGCAAGTTACCAAAAAACACCCCCTGCTTTCTTGAGCTCTAGAGATTTTAAAAGGGCAGAAAGGGAAAAGTGCACAACCGAGAATATCAATTACATGAATGCAGAAATGTAAGGACATTTACCTAGCATTTATTTTGCACCCCATCCGCAGCTGAATCATCCCTTACAATATTCCCAGTGCCAGGGACTGAAGGACGTCGTCCTCCATCACTTCCGGTAGTGGTAGTGGGGGACTTTGACTTCACTTACTGCAAGCAGGATCTTCTTTTAGGAACTCAAAAATGCAGTGAAAGAGTTTTAGGAACTCCCTCCAACTTATCTTGTGAATTTGCTGAGGCTCGGAGACTTGTCCAAGGTCACACAGCCTAGCAGCCCGTAGGGGGAGGGCTGGCCCGGCCTCGCCTGCCTTTGTGCCAGCCCAGTGGCCTGGCTCCCAGACATTAGCATTCCAATGGCCCCGGGACGCTTTGTCCTCCGACGGGGCCTGCTAGGGGGTGGGATGGGATGGGGGCAGGGCACCATAAATCTACCTGTGTGTGTGTGCGCGCGCGCGTGTGCGTGTGTGAGTGTGTGTGTGTGTGTGCGCGCGAGCGAGTGCGCGAGCAGACGGCTGGGGGAGGGTGGTGGTGGTGCAGTGATCTGCAAGATTCATGTGCTGTTTTCCTGGAAGTCAGACTTGGGCTTAGACAAAAGCATGAGGGGGAAGAGTCATTCAACTCAAGTCTTTCTTGTCTCTGCTTGGGATCCAGTGCGGGTTTCTGGGAGCTGGGGCGTGGACGGCAATCTCAGACTGTGAGAGGCTCCTCAGCCAAAGTAGCGCTGGAGGAGGGAGCCTGAGAGAGCTGCAACTGAAACTGCTCGCCTCTGCAGTGGTTTAAAAAGTTGCCGATTGTAAAATGCTGGCTGGGCTGGTTGGACACGCCTCTCACAGAAATGTTGCGGAGCCCTTCGCGCTGAAGAGATCTTTGGAGAGAAGGAGGAAGAAGGTTCCCTACCTCAGCGCAGTTTCATATATTTCCACACACTACGATGGAGCTCATCCTGGACCAAGCCCTAAATTTTGCAGTGATTAAACCAAACCCTCCCCTTTCTCCGTCATTTCCAGACTTGGAGAGTAGGGCTGACAATCCACCCTTAACTCGAGGTAGCAGCTAAGTTAGTTAAATCCTATATGTGTTTTAATTCGTGGGGCGGAGGACCAGTCTGTGTGTGCTCGTTGACTAATGGCTCCTTAATGATGGCCCTGGAAAGCAGGAAAAGGGCTGACTGGGCAGTGGGTCTCTCAGCTCCTCTGCTTGCAGCCACGGACATCACAACACCTACAGATTCTCACCAAGGACCGCCCCCCCCCCCCAAGAAAGCTACTTCCCACAGCCTTGCATCTGAAGAAAGGTCTTCTGGCTTGAAGAATTCCTCTCCAAATTTTTGACCCAGGGCCAAAGGCCACTCCCCTCTGGCAAGCCTCTGACAATCTTCCTGTAATCTAGACCAAGGTAGTTTGTGGGGTGTGGTTTCTACTTCCATTGAATACCAATATTTTTTTCACCTTAAATAATTTTGTGTTCATGCCACCTTTTTCCTTTTTAGGTCTGTCTACATCCTTTCCCCCAGTGCCTAGCAAGTATCAGGCATTTGTTTGGTCTATGCAACACAGAGCTGTCCACACCTGCCACAGGCAGTGTCCCAGGTGGAAAGTTGTTTGCTGCAGAGTCACCAATAACCCATTAATTTCTTCCTCCCAGATTAAAGCCTTGAAATAAAACTACCCTCCATTCATTTGCTTGCTGTGTAGCCCTTCTTGCCCCCAAATCCTGCCCTGATTACTAACACATAGCTCCTCCAAGCTACCTTTAGGGACTTGCGGACGGAGGAAAGGAAAAATTCACTTTGAAGTGGGGGAGGGAGGCTGGGAGGGTAAGGCCTTACCCTCTGAAAAGCCACCACAAGCACTCTGGTGTGCAGGACAGAGATCTATGTAGAGCTCCCGGCCCCTGGAAGTGCCACTCTCCCCTGGGTTGGCCCATCTCTTTCCAGCATCCTGGGACTGGCCTAGGAGGTCTCTGGGTTCAACAAGCAGGCCAGGTTCCTGCCCTCCATTTTCCTGTTCCAAAGCAGCCAGTCTACTGCAGGTTCTTACAGCTCAGACGGGGTTCCCTGAGGTCCTAGAGGCCCTTGTGCCAAGCAGGGGCACTCCACTACCCACCTCGGGATGTTTCAGGGCTCATGGGGAACCAGCCCTGATCCTCCTGCGGAGTAAGAGTGAATTTTCAATCAAGGCTGCCAGCATTGGGGGAGGGTGTCCCAGACATTCCAGATGACCCTCCACCTTCAGCCAGCTGCTAAACTGCGAGAGCCAAGGCACTGCTTCCCCAGCAGTGGGTAAGTGCACCGAAGGTGGCGCACTGGGCCTCTAAACACTTGGGGAAGATTCTGGGAAGCTGAGCATGCTAAGACTCCGCCTCCACGATTAAACTCCCTCCCTCCCTAAGTGCAGGCTGGTAGGGTAGGAGAAAGACAGCAGATCAGACCGAGTGAGTCTGGAGTCTCAGTTGGAGATCTTTCTTCCACATCATTGTTTGGAATAGGGCAAGTTGCTACCCTATAAAGAAAACAAGAGTGTTGGACCAACGATTTAAGAGGCTTCCACGCTCTGCCACCCCCAGCTTGGCGCTCAAGGGATGGGACAAGAACCCCCCTCAGTCTCATCCCTTTCCTTCAGCAGAGGTGTTTCCTCCTCAGTCGCAGCAGCTGCAATCTTCTGACGCACAACTGAGTCTCCTTAATGAGGATTCTTAAGGGTCCATCTTTTATTGGCTCAAAATCTCATTCACCAGTCCCCAATAATCTTATGTACAAAATATAGACTTTTTCCACCATGAAATCTCATCAATAAATACACATGTGTAAAACAGGGGAGGGGCATATAATTTACAGTAACAAAGTTCATTTCAAAAGATATTATTATTATTACAAGCTGATTCTTTTTCAACGAGAGGAGCGGAGTTCCAGGCACTTGCCACCACAGCACTTTTGCACCGAAGGGCGCAGGGAAGCTGGGGAGGTCGGTTAGCGATTTCCCAGTAAGCAGCCTGCTCTCCCGTTCCCGGGAGGGCAATGGCTCCAAAAAGTGCAGCACGAGAAGGCAGAGGATCACCTTCGTGGATTAAGGCAGAATGGAATAGCCCAAAACCCGGACCTGACAGGGAGTAGAGGTCAACGGCATCTCTGGAGTCGGGCAAAGGAGCAAGCGAGGAGAAAGCAAACACTGAGTTAACTCACGCTGGGGGAAGGGTGGCAGAAGACAGAGAGGCAGACAGACTGACTGGAGTGAGGGCTGGGAGACAGAAGACCTTGGCCGTCTCCGATGTGCAGTGCTGCCATTCTCTTCTTTGAACGAGGTTTTGGAGTGGCCAAAGACTGGAGACCTAAAATACGCACAACCTGCAGGGCCCACTCCCCGCAGGCAGCGCCAAAGGTTGCAGACAGGAGGACTGACAGGGGTCAGCCAGTGAGAGGCAGGAAGAGCCGCCCACCCCCACAGCTCTGGCTCCCTCCCTCTCTTGAGCACCCACAACCCGGAGACTGACCCTTTCACAGGAAGTCTGAGAAGGCCAAGGCGCCAGGAGGCAGGCAGGGAGGGGAGGTAGGCGCCCCAAGCCCGGGGCGCTCCTCTAACGAGGCGTCGGGGCTCAGGCTGCCAGCGTGGGAAACTGGGGAGTAGAGGGAGCCCCAGTCACCAGTGGAGCCGCCAGCGGGGCTGCCCACCTCCCCGCAGGACGTCCCCGCGGGCAGCTCCCGCCCATAGAAGCTGTGGTCCGCTATGCGCAGCGTCTGAGTCAGTGCCCAGATGTAGTTGTGAGCAAAGCGCAGCGTCTCGATCTTGGTGAGCTTCGCGTCATCCGGGAAGGTGGGCAGGACACTGCGCAGCGCGTCCAGTGCGGAGTTGAGGTTGTGCATCCGATTGCGCTCGCGGTCGTTGGCTTTCTTGCGCCGACTCCGTCTCTGCTTGCTCAGCGCCAACTCGCTCTTGGGCCGGCTGCGCCCTCCGCGCCGCGCGCGAAGCTTCCTCGCAGCCCCTCGGCAGCCGCCTGCTTCTGGCTCCGCACAGTCCCGGGACATGAGCGTGGGGCTGGGTGGGGCAGACGCGGCCTTCGGTATTTCGTTGTTTGAGGCTCCAGAGAAGGACTGCTCGGTCTCACAGGTCACTTGGATAGAGGGCACACCCAAAGGGTGAGGCGCCATCCTGAGGCGAAGTAAAAAGAAAGGGTAAGCATAGATCAGTCACTCCGGACAATTCCGAAGCCAGGTGGAAAAATACATCGAGGAAACTCGCCTCTCCTGCTCGGAAGACCCCTTTCCCTTGCCGGGCCCTTGGCGGCCACCGATTGTTACCTATTGATCCCGTAGCAAAGGATGGAGCAGCGCGTCTCAGAGAGGGGAGGTGGGTCGCACTGGCTGGCTCACAAAGTTGCCTCAGACCCAGAGGAAAAGAACAGCACGTAGAGGGTCCGGGAACCTCTGTAGCTCTCTCAGCACGGGGCTGCGACCGCGGAGATTTCCAGAGCCACGAGCTGTGTGCCCCCTGGCACGCTTTATCTGCTCTCCCTGGGCCAGGAGCGTGGCCGCCCGGCGGCTGCCCGCGCCACTGACCAATCAGCGCCAGGGCCCCGGGGCTTCGCCACGCGAGCCTGCTCCTCCCCTGCGAGGCACAGCTGGATTCCGGACAAAGGGCCGGGTCGGGGGAGGCAAGCTCCTCTCTGTTTGCTCAATCCCCTGGGCTCAGTCCCAGCAACTCTCGGTTTTTCAAAGAGCCTCGCCCAGTGAGAAGAGCCCCGTCTGGCGCGCGTCTGGCCACCCTGGACTGCTTTGCTCCTGCCCATCTTTCCTGGGCACCTGTCCAGACTTCTCTTGGTACTCTGGAGAGGGCTTTGAGGAGCCTGTAGGGGCCAAGCCCTGAGTGATACATGCAGGAAATGTAGGCTCAGACAGGCATGCAGGTCACCCCAAATCAGCAGACAAGACAGTGGCAGAGATAGAAGAAGGAGCCAGGGTCCCAACTAGCAGCATGCAGAAGCAACCACTAATTATAAATGCCATGTGTCCTTTGCTGCAGGTCAGACTGTGAAATATGTGGGGTCATGTTTCACTGACTCCATTCTGGAAAGAAGGGCAGGGTGACCTCAGAAAGAGATTCTGCCTGTGTTCCTTCCATTCAGAGACTTTTACCCCTGGGGTGTCCAAGTCCCCCCTTAAGATGAGGAGAAAGCACTTAGGATCCTACCCATCTGCATTTGAAATCTAAGACCTTCTAGCCTACCACAGAGGTCCAAGTGGCTGTTTGGGACTCCAGAGACGTTCTACCCTAGCAGTCAAGGACAGCTTCCAGTGTTGAGGGCAGGGCCTGGGTGCGGAGAGCTCCCGGAGGTGTGAGGGGTTAGCAGGGGGCCAGTTCACTGTGAGCCCTTCTGCTTTTTGAACGCCCACAGTGGGCTGGTGCTGTAAGAAACCAGTAGGTCAGCTCTTTCTCCCCTCAGATCTGCCCAATCACCGGTGAGAAAGGGCTGCCAGGTTTCACCTGGCCCAGCCCCCTGCCTTGCCTCCACTCAGGTTCTCAAGGGTAGCACAAGGCAAGCACTCTTTAAGGACCCACTTTGCCTCTCTTAATACTGCTTGGAAATCTTCCCAAGTGAGTCTGAGGACACCATCTCCCCATCACTGCCTCAGATACCCTGTAGTCTTCTGCTTCACTCAGGTGAAGGGTTTTGGCTTTAGCCCATTCTTCTTAGCAGGGATGTGCCTGGGGGAGGAAGCCGAGGCTGGGGTTAAGTCTGCATAGACAGCAAAGTTTGCCTTTTAACAGTTTGAGATACTTCAAGCCTCCCAGCAAGTACAGGAAGGGACAGACCCAGCTAGGAGACTAAGGGGATGGAGAAGGGGCCCAGGTAGGTCTGTGGTTCTACGCTGGTGATGGGCTCTCCTTGCCCAGACTGCTTGGGGGCTGAAACTCTGTCCTAGGCAGAGGATGACAAATTTGGGAAAGAGTGGGAGGAGCCTGTAAGACTGAGTTAGGGTGGGAGTGCTGTCCTACGGATCACAGCTGGTAGCTGTGAGCAGAGGGTCCTTTCTTGGCTGCCTGGAAATGAAGTCTGGGGTCAAGGTCAGGACGAACAGACAGCTTGTTCACACAGTTCTTGGGTCCCCTATTTTGCTCTTCCCTTATGTCAAGACTTACTCCAAGCTTGTCTTTTAGGCTTAAAAGTGTGAGCTGCCTGCCCTCTTTACAGAGGGAAAAGTCAAGGTCTGGAGAGGAAAACTGACTTGCCCAAGTTGCATTGCAAGTGTTACCAGAACCATGTGGGATTCAGATCCAAAGACTCCTAGGTTTAGGTTTTCACATGCATTTGTTGCCTGTTGTTGATTTGGGGGAAAGCAAAAGACTCCCAAATGCAGAAAACAGAAGTTCTGAATCTGTGGTGAATGATAAGATCAGATTAGAAAAGGAGTAAAGGTCCGGACTCCCAGGCAGGGGCAGCTGCTTCCACCCACATCCCACCTTTCCGCTTTTCTGTTCCACACTCCTCCCTTGCTTCACAGTAGGGATGGGGAGAGGACTCTCAAAGCATGCTTTGCTAGGGACCTGGGATGCATGGAGACTTTGTTGAGGGACCCCAGGCTGAGGGACCCGAGCGCCTCTCTGCTGTGCTGGAAACCTGGGAAGCAGCCCTCCTTGGTGACTCTCATCTGGGTGTGAACGTGGTCGAATGGTGGTGCGGCTTGCCCTGGTTAGAGGCTGCCCTGAGAAACTAATGGTACTGGCCAGAGCGCAGAGCCAGGTTCCTGCGCCAGGGAAGAATTTGGGAATTCTTGCCAAAATTTCTTAATTGGCAGCGAATTCTGGGACCTGCTTGGAATTCTTATCCAAACTTCCTGACACTGCACTGGCTCAGGGGCTCCAGGGTTGTCCAGCTGCTGCTACCTCCTTTGCGCAAAAAGCCATTGGGGGCGAGGCGCGCGCAGCGACCAGAGAAGCTGCCCTTGACAGACGCAAAGGACTTTCCAAAGCTCTGTTTCTGGCCCGGAGGCCCGGACCCGAAGCTCGGGAGTCTCAGCGGTTTAGAGACGGAGAATCCTTACCCGGTACCCCAGCTGCAGCGTGGGCACTGACTCCCTCTCCAAAGTTAAGTCCTGTGCTTTGGTGGCAGAGGCGCAGGCGTTCACTGCGCAGTGCGCACTAGTTGTGTTTGTAAAATTGCTCTTTCCGTGGGTCTCAAAGCCTGTTCCTACAGCCCTGAGTCATTCACCACCTCTAAGGCCCCTGGTACCCTGTTACTCCTGGGACCTACGCTAGCCTGAAGGCTGAGGGGGTCCAGGAGAGAGGCGACAGCCAGACGCCTGAAAATCTCGGGCAGATTGGAAAAGAAGGCAGGCAAGGATTTGCCCTGCCGCCTTCCTGTGGGCAGGGGGAATCTTAGCATTGCCTGGGGGCTCTTTGAGAATCAACCCAGGAGGGGGGGTCAGGGGAAGCTGAATAGCTAATGGCTTGCCAGAGGAGGGGGCTTCTTTCTCTCGCCTTCGCTTCTGCACTGAAAGAGGGGAAGACAAAAATCTGGTGAGCGAGCTGCCTGGGCCGAGAATGGCCACTTCAAACAGCCCTTCAAACAAAAGGAGACGACGAAAAGAAAGCCCCACCTGTCTCCAGTGTTTGCTAAAATAATAATAAATAGATTTCGTTTAATAAATAATTACAAGAGATTGTAAAGTGGAGAGCTTTGGAAAACATCTACGCGGGAGTCAGTGCAGCCAGCCGTCACCTGCTCCCGAGGCGGACAACTTTATTGTTAAGCCACCCCCCAACTAGTTCGCCTCTGATAAACTCTCCCTCGTTTTCACAATGACTGTTTACTCATAGTTAGCACAATATTACCTTTGCTGTGATAAACCCGGAGGGGGGAGACCTGGTCCCCGGCCCCTGGGCACACCTGTCCCAGAAGCTGACACATGGATTTGGCACTGAGCTGGCCTTCCCCCTGGGGGCCCTGCCCCCGTGTACATTGGCCCAATTGCCACTCATTTATAACAGGTTGGCTGCAAGGCCTATCTCGGGTCCTATTTGTCTTCTTTTATTGAAAGCATATGGTCTCCAGGGGCTCACCAGCCCCATATTTCATCTGCCAAGAGCTGGGGCGCTTCCGCAGGCTGGTGCTGCCCTGCGCGCTGCTCCCCACCAGCTGCTGAGCCAGTTGAAGGGATGGTGGAGGTTGGGTGGGGAGAGATAAGGCAGGCTCCTCTTAGGCTTTAGGAGAGAAACCATTCCCATAGAGGTTCCCCCTCCCCAGGGCCAGGGACCTTGTGCGCTCTTGAATGGGTGGCTAGTTCCTTTTCTTGGGTAGGTGAGAGGGCGCCATATGTTACCCCGCCCTCCCCCCCAGGGCGCACGAAGGAGCTTCGGCTCCTGGAGTCCTCGAACAAAGGGAAGAGAGGGCCCCTAAGCTCAGGAGCGCCCGAGGTCTTTATTTCTAGATCCCCCTCTTTGCCTAGGGCCGCCTCCCCCAGAGGTTCGCAGCTCTGCGTTTCGCCTGGAAACAAAGTGTCCACATTATTGCTGCCTAGGCGGAGACTCTGAATGCGTGAAAAGGTGCCTTGCGCGCACCAAGACACCTGTTGAAAAGGCGCCTCTTCTCAGCGCCTCTCTCTGCTGTAAGCTCGGTCAGGAGCTGTGCAAGGAGTGGGGGGTGGGAGGAGGGAGAGATACTGTGATTTGTGGCGACATATGTCGAGCAGGTCGGTGTGTACTCTTCACAGGCATACACGCACCCTCACTCCCATACACACCCCGAGAGAAGGAGCAGCTGCTCGCCTCACCTTCTTCCAACATAATACCTGGGCCGGGAGCTTTGGCCTCGCCTTTTGAGACTCGGACTTTCCCCCACCCCTTCTCTTCCGCCACGTCCTCGCTCCCAATGTTGGCAGCTTTGCTGTAGGACTTTATTGTCAGATTTAACAGATGCACATTTGTTCTCAGTGCCCACCCCAAACACACGCACGCAAGCATCCACAGAAAACACAGCTGATACACAGATGCGGAGCGCAAGATGCACATTTTTCCAGCTCTGCGCACGCCTGGGCTGGGGAAACTAACAGGCTGTGTGATTTTCTCTCCCCAGAAAAAAATAAATAATGGAAGCCAGAGGGGGTGGGAAGCTACCTCCTGGGTCCTCCAACTTGGCGCTTGCTCTCGGGAG